TATGTAACTGTACACTTTATCATGAATGAAAGGCCTTGAAGTATGTTTTATATCTCGTGTAACATAACATAGCTTCAGTCCATAGACGATAGCGCTTCAGTAACATAGATGAGGACTACGATGTTCTGATTATGAGACTGTTACTTCTCGACGAAGGCTATGTCTAGAATATCCCTAGTCGCACTTTATGATAATACGGACGTCATAACGTATCAAGACTAGTACGTACGAGATGAGATAGTTGCGTCTCATAGACTATAGGTATTGTGATATTTTAATCTGTACGTAGGTGCATATTATATTGATAATATGTGACTGGATTGACCCATCTTGAGAATACTGCATGGATCTACAGTAATATGTTTATCAGTATTCTCAAATCGACCTTGCTATAACTATCCTCAGACTTGAAGTTATTACATTGTCTGATATGTGGGGCCGTATGCTTTGATTCATAACTAATGCTATTTGAAATACTGGTAGACGTACAGTTATACGTTGGGTATGCCGCTAAGCATATTTCATAATCTGGGGATAATAATGTCTTGCTAGATACCGCTTATTATCTATGGTATTAATTTATATTAATATCATTGCCAGTGTTATGGATACCTAAAGGGTCACACACTTAGTACTTGTAAGAAAGTAGTATACTACACTAGTGGGAGTAATATTAAATATATAGTTGTGATAATTTTATATATATATGTATTTCGAAAAATACATATGTATTTTAAAATTATATTTTGTTTGTGTCATTTTAATTATATGATAATTATATTTTGACAAAACAAATTTTATTATATATATATATATATATATATGTAGCGCCGATATATATATATATATATATATATATATATATTACTTTTATTTTCATCATTTTAATTATATGATAATTATTGATGTCAAAATAAAATATGATATATTATAAATTGAAATGGCCGAAAATTTCAAGAGAAAGATACAAAACATATTTTGATTTTTTACCTAATGATATATTTGATTTATATAATCAAATATTTGATTAGTAAAGAATATTTTTATTGTTGTGTTGGTTGGGAACAATACATTAAGCCAAATTTGTTTTTGTCCCTAAGCAATTTCCTAGCAATTCCTTAATGCAATATATTATAAAATGAGAAATATCCCTCCCCATTTTCAAGTGTGTGAGTTTCGGCCATCACAAGGAAGAGAGAAGAAAATTATATTTTGTGTTCAAAGTTATTTTTCTAAAGTGTTAGAAATATACACAAAATATTATAAGCAAATATTTATAAGATAAATATTTTACTATATATTTATTACTCCCAAAGTAGTATTATTATAGTTTTTACTATCCTATATTAAACTTGCTAGCACAAGTTTAATCTTGGACTCCGGAGCAAGTTCGTGTGGATACGTTGGAGGCTTCATACGTTTGGCGCTACGTTCATCTCCTCAAAACCATCCCCGACCGTTCCTCCGTT